GTTTTAACTCTAGTTTATACATAATTTAATAGAATTATCATTTCTAAAAATAAAATATTAAACATAACACAAACTCACTAAAACTCATATTTGATTATGATTGAAAACATATTTTTTATGAATAAAAGTGTATCCAATTATTAAAAATAAGATAAATGAAAATTAAAAAATGGAAAGAACCACATTATATTTTAAAAAAAAACCTTCAATGTTTATATAGTTTCTTCTTAAATTAAATAAAATTTACATACCTAAAATTGATGTGGAATAAGCTAATCAGGTTCATGTGTCTGTCTGTCTGACTATTTGTCTGAATGTCCTCTTTTAGCCTTGCGACGTGAATGGCTTGGCTTGTTATTTCTAATCGGCTTTTTAGATTTCCACTACATTAAATTTTTAAAGTAAAAAAAAATAATAAATTATTCTATAATTTCAAATAAAAATTCAAAATTAGCAGACAAATTAAATATTATAAACACTTACAAAAACATTGCTGATAAAAATCTGAACAAAATGATCACAAGAAGTGCCAATATAGCCGATGCGTGGAAGATAAAACATAATAATAATTCATCATTTCTGTTCTACTCTACTCTTCTCTTTTTATTTCTTTAACTCAAGAGTAAATTACATTTTTGGTCCCTAAGTATAGCTGCTTTTTGCAATTTTGGTCCTAAAACGTTTTCTCTTGCAATTTTGGTTTCTTATTTGAGGTTCTTGTAACTTTCTTGGTCCTTGTTACAAGTAAATGACTATTTTTGGTCCTTGAGTATACCCGGATTTTGCAATTTTGGTCCTAAATTATATTCATTTTACTTGGAATAGGGACCAAAAACATTAGAAGAACCCCAAATAAGGACCAAAATTGTAATAAAAAAAAGTTTTGGGACAAGAATTGAAAAAATTATCTATATTCAGGGACCATAAATGTAATTTACTCTTTATGTAATGGACTGATTGGGAAATGGGAACATGGCTTAATATTGAAGACTATATATATGAGTGTTTCTTTTTTAGTTAACACCAAAACGACTTAAGAGAGAAAGTTAGGAAAATGGGCTCTCCTTATTAAGTCCTAACATTTTATATATTATTCCTTTAATCTTCGCAAGTGTGACATCATTTTTTATATATTTTTTTGACATCACTTATCCACACAACACTTAATAGAAAAATAAATAAATAAATAAATAATGAGAGAAAGAGAAAGAGATATACATCAAACCATATAAATTCCTTACTTGCAAGAGATTTTGTAATTTCATGCTTTTTTAGTGATTCTTCAACGGTTGCCTTGAACCTTCACATATAAACATATTTTTTTTTACAGATTTATAATTGTGAATTTCAATCAAATATTCCAAAAAAAAAGTTGAAAATAGTACCTGATTATGGTATACAGTTGCAGATTTAAGAAAAAAAAAGTTAGTGTGCAGTTGCGAGGGTGATGTAAAACTGCGGAGCAGCCGTAGCAATCCCCAAGTTAGTGTGTAGTTGTGGGAGTGATTTAATATTGCGGAGCAGCCGTAGAGTTCACTAGGATAGGATGCGGTTGTTGAAGTGTTATAGGACTACGAAGCAGCCATAGCATTCATTAGGTTGGTAGGCGGTGGCAATAGGGATGGAAGTTTATGATTTGTCTCATGGTATTCTCTAGGATGAATAAGATCATCACAGGGTTCGGTGAAGGGTTGTGAGTGGGCCTCAACATTTGTAATACTTGGGAAATCGTAGGCTGGGTTGGGGCCAAATGTGATGTCAGTACTCGGTTCAGTTTGTAGCCATCACTGGGGTTAAGCGGACTTGATGATTGTTCGTGAATTGGTTGGTTGAGTTGTCCTTCATTGGGAGTGAATGACTGATGGAGTCATGTTGGCGGATAGACCGAGACCACCTGTACGTGTTTAGTTTTTGAGTCTGGAGCTAAATTTGTTTTCGATGAGGATTTTTCGGTACCGGTAAGTGGTCGGAGTATATATGTTTCAGGTATCCGTAAATTTGTTCAGGACAGATAGGTTTTTGTGGTTCAGGATATGAATTTGAGTCATTGTGGAAATGGTTTGGAGTGATTTTGCCTTCCTGGGAGTTAGACATCGAGTAGGGATTTCAGTTTCAAGCGTAGCGGTTAGACACTCATGGGCTTAGAGCAAAGTTGAGGTTCATTCTTCGTTAGGTCTTGTGATTCCCGTTATTTTGGGTTCGACAGTAGTAAGGGTGGATGGTTATCAGAGTGAGGTGACATTCCCAGTCATCTTTGTGATTCAGGGAGTTCAATCAGGATTGTTTGGTTCAGCAGAAGAGATAGTAAGGAATGATTTCGAGGACGAAATCTAATTTAAGGGGGAGAGTTGTAACACCCTGTTTCGGGTCGTTTCATAATTCGGGGCGGTGATCCGAAGATAAAGTATCATAAGGCTTCGGGCTTTGGTAACAAGAGGTTTAGACTCATTTGGATATGGGTAATGTAGATTGTATGATCCAAGAGTTCGGTTGGTGCTTTGGAGTCAAAGGGTAAAATGTGAAAGTAGTGTTTTAGACTTATTTTATGAATTATGGATTTTAGTTCAATGTGTTTTTAAGTCAAAATTAATTAGATAGAGGTGTAGAGCTCCTTAATACCTTTCCATGGATATAAAGATCGTCGAAATCAGAGTTGAAACGAAGAAGTTATGACCGTTTGAAGTTTGGACGGTTTTGGGTTAAGCTGAGTACGTTGGGTGTACAGGGGGTACGTTGGGCGTACTAGGGAATCCACAGTACACTGGGCGTACCAGGAGTATGCTGGTTATACACAGTCAATTCCTAAACCCTATTTTCGTGGTATGAGCCTTATTTAAGCTCCTTAACTTCCCCAAAACCATTCCATACTCAACCTCCACCTCTCTAACACCCTCCCATGAAACCCTAACCCTAGTTTGACCTTTTTGAGCTAAAAGAAGGTGTTTTTGAGTGCTTTGGAGTGTGCATGGTGCACCTTGTAGAAGAAGGAACTCTTTGGAGAAGTGTTGGTTGCATTGGAGCTTGTAGATTCAGACTTTGTTCACCTTGATCTCTCTTCTAGAGGTATAAAGTCTGAATCTTGTTGATGCATTTGTTAGATCTAGCTAGTTTTGGATGTTATGAGCGTTTGGTCATTTTAGTGCATAAAGTTTAGATCTTGTAAGTTTGTGACCTTCTTATGGATTAAGTTAGAAACTTTATCCATCTAAGCATCATTGTGATTCATCTGAAGGTTGGAGACTTGGACTTAATGAATTAAGTTGAAAAAGATGCACTTTTTGGTCCCTTTGATACTTAAAGTCTAGATCTTGGTGGTTTGAACCATTCTAATGGATAAAGTTGGAAACATTATCCATTATGGAGTTATTAGGATCCATAAAAATGTGATCTTGATCCTTCTATTCCTTCCATGAAAGTGTTATGATGTCTTAATGGATTAATATGTTAAGGTTTTGGCTTTTAGACCTTTTCTAGACATGGAAAGTTATAAAGGTGGAAACTTTATGACTTAGAATGATGTTGTGGGACTAGATCTAAGTGTTGGATGAAAGGGATTAAGAGATTAAGCACTTTAATGAAAACGTGCCTTCTGGTCGAGTACATTGGGCGTACCTTTGGGTACGCTGCGCGTACTCGTGAGGATTCTCGTCCCTAGATGGTGAGTACACCATGTGTACGAGCTGAGTATCCTGGGAGTACTCAACCTGAAGTTTGACTTGTTTACTTTGACTTCCGTTGGCCGTTGACTTTTTGACTAAGTTTGACCTTGGGTCACACTTGAGGGTTTTGGGCTATTAAATAAGATTTTATCTTGTTCTGTTATTTATGGATTTGAGGGTGCAAGCAGTGTAGAAAAGGGATCGTGTCGTAGTGTTTCAGGGTTCTTCGATTCAGATGAGTTTTCTCCCGGTGCTCGTGAGTTGAAGGCACCAATGTCGGCTCACTAAATTATGTATGTAGGATGCTAGCTGTCTTTGTGACTCTTGCATGTTTGTATGAGCCTGTGTGGTAGAATAGATGTATATGTGATGACCAGCTGGGTCTAGTTGTTATTATTGTGTTATGTTGTTTATATGGGACTGAGACTGCTGATAGTCTCCAGGGTTGCTGATAACTCATCGGGGCGTGCTGTTAGCCCACTGGGATTGCTGATAACTCATAGTTGTTTATTTGTGTTGTGTTGTGTTGTGCATGGTATTTTGGTGAACTCACTAAGCTTTGTGCTTACGATTTGTGGTTTACATGTTTCAGGTTTTCTTATATTAAAGGAGGGGCACGGCTCGGTTGCATCGCATCAATTGGGGACTTGTGTACTTGATAACTTTTAATGATACTCTGATAAATGTTTTAAGATCTTGCAGTTGTGAATTAAATAAATACTTAAAGTTTTAATTGAAAATTTTAGGTTGAAATTTGTGGTGTTACAATAACATAGTACTAATTTAATATAATAAATTAATAATATATGTTATTTAAGAAATAATAGGTACTCATTCCTTTTGCCACCTCCTTGTTTCCTTTTACAGAAATTTCAACCGTCTTACCACTAAACCGGCAAACTTTTTGTTATACAAAAACCTAAATAATATAATATAACATATAACACTAATCATTAATTACATTATTTCATACATTATTATTATTATTATCTATTGTTGTTGTTTATTTTTATTATATATTTTTATGAATGTATACATGTATTTTGAAATATATAAATATACTTTTAAAGCGAAAAATTACGTTTTTAAAGGTATAAATGTATTTTAAAGGTATTTATATGTTTAAAAATGTATTAATATATTTTGAGTCCGGGTAATTCGTGCGTTGAGTCTCCAATTTTTTTTTTTAAACTAGAAACATTCCTACAAATTGGATTTGTTATGGTGCTGGTCCCTCATCAAGACTAATATATCCTTATCTAATTTTTTTAATTTTAATTGTATTATTTACTATTTATTTATATATTCATAAAGGTAATACCCAACTCTTTTACCCTACCCATCCAACTTTTTTAACCTCCTCATTCTCTTCTTTCACTTCTTCCTTTCACTTTCCCAGTTTCCTGTCAGTCTGTCACCTCTCGTACTCCATCGAGCAACAACTTCTTCTCGCCGATCGCCCCAGCTCCACCGTCAAACATTGCCAAATCGTCGGAAAAACTCGAACATGAACCATGTCGCCAGAGAAGGGAGAGGCCTGATATCCCTTTATCGGCGCTTCTTCTTCTCGCTGTCGTGGAGTCGGGCTCTCAGTCTGAACTGTTTTTTCGGCCTCCACAACTCCTACAGCCTCAGCACCTCCGGGCTTCGGCATTTTCTTTCAGTATTTCACCTCTGCGGTGTCTGTTACTTAGTAAGTCCAGATTTGTTCTTTCCTCTTCAATTTCGTAAATTATTTTCGTTCCTTATATTATAGGTTTAGATTTTCTTTAGGGTACTTATTAAAAAAAAAAAATAGGTAATTAACTGTGTATATGTATGTTCTAGCTGTGTCTGTGTCTATGAAACGAAAAGGAGGATTGCTATTCTTTAAAAAGAAACTCTATAATACAACTACAATGAGTACAATATATGAATGTAGCTTGATTTTATTGGTTTTTTTTTTCATTTGCTTCTTGTTATATTATTGTTTCTATTTGTTTTGTAGGGTTAATGATTTACTTTTATTTTGTTATTATTTTTAATGTAAATAACTTCATAATTCTAGTTGTATTTTTTTTGTTCTAATCAAATTCTATTTTTTTTTTATCTTTTTCATTACCGTTTGTTAATTTTGGTATATAATGTATATTAAAATGGAAAAACAATCAACTTCAAATATTCAAGAGGTTAATAAGTTCTATTTTGGGGGAATGATGTAAGAATATATCATATTAATCTCCTTGTTTATAATTTTAATATGTCATAAATTTGATTCAAAAATGTAATTTGTTTATAAGATTTTTTTAGCTTTGATTTCCGCCCCCTAGTTTGATCGATTAATGCAAATCTCAACTCTCAAGTTAATTACATATGAGTTCAACATCTTCCATGGCTAACTACAACAACTCACGAATCTTTCTTTTGCAAGGTTACCATTAGAGTCACGATCAAAATGAGCTATCACTACTAGAAAACATGGCGTTTTCCTACGGAAAATAGCTACGGAAAATTTCCGTAGCTAATTAGCTACGGAATCGCTACGGATCAGCTATAGAATGGGATGTCCTAGTTTAGTAACGGAATAGCTACGGAATAGCTACGGATGCGGGTACGTAGCTATTCCGTAGCTAATTAGCTACGGAATAGCTACAAATGCAAATCCGTAGTTATTCCGTAGCTAATTAGCTACGGAATGGCTACGGAATACCTACGGATACTAATTACCTACGGATTAGCTACGGAGTATGCTTTCCGTTAGAATTCCGTAGCTAATCCGTAGCTAAGTAGCTACGGATTAGCTACGGATTTTTCTTATTTTCAATTTTTCGGGCATCAAACGTCGTTTTTTTCGCTTCGTTTTTTTCACACCTCGACTATACATGATTATCTTTATTTTCACCAACTTGTAGCTATTAATATCGTTCATAAAGTTGTGTGCCCTTTCAGGATCAAGTACTCGTTTCACAATTTAACATTATAATGTCTATACTTTTCACCAATTTGTAATGGATTATGTTTGTATATGTATATTTATATACGTGAATGAGTTTGTGGTATATGTGTACGTGTATATGTGTATGTATATACGTGTTTGTGAGATGTATGTGTACGTATTCATAAGCATTATAGTGTTAAACCATTAAACGAGCAATGGATCCCGTATGTGCACACGGCTTTATGAATGATAATAATAGCTATAAATTGATGAAAATATAGATACTCATGTACAATAGGGATTAGCTACGGAATATGCTTTCCGTTAGAATTCCGTAGCTAATCCGTAGCTAATTAGCTACAGATTTTTCTTATTTTCGATTTTTCGGGCACCAAATTTCGTTTTTTTCGCGCCGTTTTTTTCACACCTCTATTGTACATGATTATCTATATTTTCACCAACTTATAGCTTAATAGATCATAAAGCCGTGTGCACATACGGGAGCCATTACTCGTTACTGGTTTAACACTATAATGCTTATGAATACGTTCACATACATCTCACAAACACCTATACCTACATCATCATCATCATCACCATCATCAGCATCATCATCATCACCATCACCATCACCATCACCACAACCATCATCATCATCATCACCACCACACCACTATCATCATCATCATCATCATCATCACCACCACCACCACCACCATCATCATCATCATCACCATCATCACCATCACCATCATCACCACCATCATCATCATCATCATCATCATCATCACCACGACCACGACCACCACCATCATCATCATAATCACCATCATCATCATCACCATCACCATCATCATCATCATCACCACCACCACCACCATCATCATCATCACCATCATCACCACCATCACCATCACCACCATC